AGCTTGCAGTGAGCCGAGATCGCGCCACTGCACTCCAGCCTGGGCGACAGAGCGAGATGCCATCTCAAAAAAAAAAAAAGAAAGAAAAAAAAAAAGAAAAAGAAAAAGAAAAAGAAAGAAAAAAAAGAAAAGAAATTTCTGTAGAGACGGGTGGTCCTACTGTGTTGCCCAGAGTGGTTTCAAACTCAATCTCCTGGGCTCAAGCAAGCCTCCTGCCTCAGCTTCCCAAAATGCTGAGATTACAAGCGTGAGCCATCACGCCCGGCCTTGCCATCATATTCTGATCTAGGACTCCCTTTCTCTCTACATCCAAGCCATGGACTTCCCCAGCAAGCCCTGACTCCCGGGCAGACTCCGCCGCCTAAGACTCCATCCCTGGCACCACTGATTCACTTTCCAGCCCATTAACTAGCACGCCTGCGGTCAAGGACTCTGTTTCCCAGCATGCTCAGGAACACGAACTCCATTTCCCAGCATGCACTGCACCTCGGTCCTACTTCGGGTTTGAAACCCGCAGGGGCATGATTTCTTCGCGGAACTCCATTTCCCAGCATCCCTCAGGAAGAAGGCGTCCCTCCCAGCATGCTCTGGACGCGGGACTACATCTCCCAGCACGCTCCGGGCCGGCCGGCTCTCACCTGGGAAGGGACCTTGCAGCTGCTGCAAATTTCCTAGAATTTTCTGGCTCAGCAGGTGGATAAGACGGGTCACAACCTGGGGGCGTTGGAGGCCGGCATTTCAGTGAGACCCGGGAAGCAGCTGTCCAGGTCCCACCTCTCCCTCCTCTGCCGGGGCTCCTGGGTCCCCGTTACCTGAGTCCCACCCCCAAGAGCCCCGCCCTTACTCTCTCGCCCTGGCACCTCCCTCGGCCCCCGTTCCTCCGGAAGCCCCTCCCACACACTAGGCCCGGTTCCCCCGGGGTCCAGCCTCCGCCCCTCTGCCCCGCCCACAACAGGGCGTACCTGCGGGTACCGGCGTTTGATGTGACCCAAGGTGCCCTCGGGAAGCTTGGCCAGCTCCGTGTCTCGCACCGCGTGCACCGTCGTGGCTCGCGGCTGCCGGGTCAGCGCCTCCACCTGGGGAGCAGTGTGCATAATTGAGGCTGCTTGGGTGGGGAATGGGGAGGCCGAAGATTGGTGGAGAGGGGGCTGTACTGCCCCATCTAGGGCTCCCCTGCAATGGGGGTGCAGGGAAGCAAGCCTCGCTCGCTACCCATTAGAGGTCCGAGAAGAGGGAGAGGACAGGGATACACGACAGGCGGAATCCCCTTTTCCGACGAAATGAGGTCTGGGAGGGGAGGGGACTGGGTGACGTCAGAGGTCGGGAGCTGCATTCACCACTTTACCCGGGATGATGTGTGTGTGTTGTGTGGGGATTGGCCTGGAAAAGGCCAGAGGTCAGTGGGTGGGGGCCGCGCTCACCACGCCGATGAGGTCGCCGCGGCCGTACTCGCCCACCAGCTCCTTCTTGCCACTGCCTCGCTGGATCACGCTACGCAGCCGCCCATTGAGCACGATGTAAGTGCAGTCGGAGCGGTCCCCCTGCCTGAGTGGGCGTGGAGATCAGCAAGGTCTGACCACCCCCAAGTCCCCACCCCTAGGCCGGGCCTGAGCAGCGTGGTGGAAGCTGCACCTGTACAGCGCGCGTCCGGCCTCCACTGCCGTCCAGTCGATGGCGAAGTCCATCTGGCGTACGAAGGGCGACATCCTGGCTGCCACCGTGTGCGCCGCGCTCAGCACCACACTGGGCTGTGCGCGCATGATCCTGCAGGGATAGACTTGGGATGAAAGAGGAAGGCCTCAAAATTGCCCTACACCGGCGCCGGGAGGCCAGATCTGGGGGGTCCCTTCTGCTTTTCCAGGAGTGAGGTTGAGGGATGAGGTCCTGGCCACTCTCACGGGTTGGGGGTCCTCCGAGTGCCACCCCCACTCCAACCTCAGGCCGTCATACTCATAGAAGTCGGACTTGGAGATCCGCAGGAAGGTGCAGTCGCGCTGGGCTCGCAGCGTGAAGATGAGAGGTTCGCCAGTGAGCACCGCCAGCTGCCCCACCAGCTCCCCGGGCTGCGCTACAAACAGGCACACGTCCTCCGCCTTGTCAATCATGCGCTGGTACACGTGCAGGCAGCCCCAGAGCACGAAGTGCAGGCTCACGTCCTGTGTGGGCAGGGGATGTGATGAACACAGAACCCGGACAGCGTGGACCCCCAGCTCAGGTCAACGTGCTCCACAGAAAAACATTAAAGAAGGAAGGAAGGGTTAAGAAAAACACGAAGGCGCAGGACGCGGTGGCTCAAGCCTGTAATCCCAGCACTTTGGCAGGCCGAGACGGGCGGATCACGAGGTCAGGAGATCGAGACCATCCTGGCTAACACGGTGAAACCCCGTCTCTACTAAAAACACAAAAAACTAGCCGGGCGAGGTGGCGGGCGCCTGTAGTCCCAGCTACTCGGGAGGCTGAGGCAGGAGAATGGCGTAAACCCGGGAAGCGGAGCTTGCAGTGAGCTGAGATCCGGCCACTGCACTCCAGCCTGGGCAACAGAGCGAGACTCCGTCTCAAAAAAAAAAAAGAAAAAAAAGAGAAAAATACGAAGGCGCAGGACGTGGTGGCTCACGACTATAATCCCAGTGCTTTGGGAGGCCGAGGCAGGGGAGTCATTTGAGGCCAGGAATTCGAGACCAGCCTGGCCAACGTGGCGAAACCCGTCTCCACTAAAATAAAAAAATTAGGTGGGCGTCGTAGCACATGTCTGTAATTCCAGCTACTCAGGAAGCTGCGGCAGGAGAATTGCCTGAATCTGGAAGACGGAGGCTGCAGTGAGCTGAGATCATGCCACTGCACTCCAGCCTGGGCGACATAGCGAGACTCCCTTTAAAAAAAAAAAAAGGCCGGGTGCGGTGGCTCACGCCTGTAATCCCAGCACTTTGGCAGGCCGAGACGGGCGGATCACGAGGTCAGGAGATCGAGACCATCCTGGCTAACACGATGAAACCCTGTCTCTACTAAAAATACAAAAATTAGCTAGGCATGGGGGCTGTGCCTATAATCCCTGCTACTCGGGAGGCGGAGACAGGAGAATTGCTTGAATCTAGGAGGCAGAGGTTGCAGTGAGCCAAGATTGCACCACTGCACTCCAGCCTGGGCGACAGAGCGAGACTCCGTCAAAAAACAAAAAAAAAAAAATAGAGTTGGCTTATAACCCAGCAATTCAACTCCTAGGTATATACCCAAGAGAAATGAAAACATATGTCCAAGCACTTTGGGAGGCCAAGGTGGGAGGATCACTTGAGCCCAGGAGTTCGAGACCAGCCTGGGAAACATAGTGAGACCCCACCTTTAAAAAAAAAAATAAAACATATGTCTACACAGAAACCCTTACATAAGACTAGGTGCAGTGACTCATGCCTGTAATTCTGGCACTTTAGGAGGCTGAGGCAGGTGGATCACCTGAGGTCAGGAGTTCGAGACCATCCTGGCCAACATGGCGAAACCCTGTCTCTACTAAAAATACAAAAATTAGGCGGGCATGGCCGGGTGCGGTGGCTCATGCCTGCCTCAGCTTCCTGTGTAGCTGGGACCACAGGCATGTGCCACCATGCCTGGCTAATTTTGTTTGTTTTTTGTAGAGACTGGGTTTTGCCGTGTTGCCCAGGCTGATCTTGAACTCCTGGACTCAAGAGATCCTCCCACCTTGGCCTTCCAAAGTGCTGGGATTACAGGCGTGAGCCACTGCGCCCAGTCTAAAGTATATACTTTAAATGGGTAAACTGTATAATACATGAATTATAGCTCAATAAAACCATTACACCCCCCCCAAAAAAATATTGTTCCACTTGAGGCTCACCGACTCCCTTTTTTATTTCTTAGAGATCAACCTATTTCTTCCCACCACACAACATTTGTACAAGCTCTTCCTTCTGCCTAGAATGACCTTTCCAACAACTACATCCAGTTTGTTCCTCCCCCTCCTTCCTTCTTAGGTCATGGCCTTAGAGGTGCCACCCTGTCTAAGCCAGACTTTGTAGTGCCAAGATCATCTCCTTTGTAGCACTAAGCACTTATGATTTTACAAGAATTTGTGTAATCCTTTGAGTCATGTCTCTCAGAATACTGTGGGCTGCCCAAGGGCAGGGACCACTTAAGGGCTTTCCCTGCCCACATTTGTTTTTGTTTTTGTTTTTTTGAGACAGGGTCTCACTCATTGCCCAGGCTGGAGTCCTGGGGTGCGATCTCAGCTCACTGCAACCTATCTCCTGGGTTCAAGCGATTCTCCTGCCTCAGCCTCTCGAGTAGCTGGGACTACAGGCGTCTGCCACCACGCCTGGCTAATTTTTGTATTTTTAGTAGAGATGGGGTTTTACCATGTTAGCCAGGATGGTCTCGAACTCCTGACCTCAAGTGATCCGCTCACCTCGGCCTCCTAAGGTGCTGGGATTACAGGCGTGAGCCACCGTGCCCAGGCCTTTTCCTGCCTGTTGTCCAGCTGGCAGCACACGGTTCGGGATGGGGCAAATGCTGGGTAAACACATGTTTCTTTCTTCTTTGGGTAGCTTGACCAGCTAGACACCTTCCTGTTCCACCCCTTTATAAATAAGGAACTGAAACTGCCCAGAAATGGAGAGATTCCTTCTTTATCCACCACACCAACTTGTCTGGCACCCAGTGAAGCTCCACCTGCCAAAACGCTGCAGGGACCCCTGGGTGAGGTGCAGTCCCAGGAGATATAAACACATGCTGGAACCTTCTAAGACAGAATTTCCAGACTGTGGCCAGGCACGGTGGCTCATGCCTGTAATCCCAGCACTTTGGGAGGGTGAGGCGAGTGGATCACTTGAGGCCAGGAGTTTGAGACCAGCCTGGCCAACACAGTGAAACCCTGTCTCTACTGAAACTACAAAAATTAGCCAGGTGTGGTGGCACATGCCTGTAGTCCCAGCTTCTAGGGAGGCTGAGGTGGGAGAATCGCTTGAATCCGGGAGACGGAGGTTGCAGTGAGCCAAGATCGCACCACTGCGCTCCAGCCTGGGCAACAGAGCAAGACTTCATCTCAAAAAAAAAAAAAAAAGTTTCAAGGAGAAGCACAGGAAAGCAGGGGGTCCCTAACAAAAGTCCTGCCAACCCAGAGAAGCTCTGAGGGGCTGCAG